TCTGATTGGTCGGCTTTCTAGCCAATAGGAAGGCCGGATATAAAATCTACCCTCAGATTCGGAATCCTGGCCCTGGATAACCTATAATAAAGTTTCATCTAAAGGCCCGAAAAGCTTAAAATAAAAAAGCTCACTGCTGATTAGCCGACTTTTTGGCCAATGGGAAGGTCGGATATAAAATCCGCCCTCAGATTCGGAATCCTGGCCATCGATAACCTATAGTAAAGTTTCATCAAAACGCCTAAAAAGCTTAAAACAAAAAAGCTCATTTCTGATTGGCCGGTTTTTAACCAATGGGAAGGTCGGATATAAAATCCACCCTCAGATTCGGAATCCTGGCCATCGGTAACCTATAGTAAAGTTTCATCAAAAGGCCCAAAAAGTTTAAAAGAAAAAAGCTCATTTCTGATTGGTCGGCTTTCTAGCCAATGGGAAGGCCGGATATAAAATTCGCTCTCAGATTAGGAATCCTGGCCCTCGATAACCTATGGTAAAGTTTCAACAAAACGCCTAAAAAGCTTAAAACAAAAAAGCTCATTTCTGATTGGTCGGCTCGTTAGCCAATGGAATGGCGGGATGTAAAACCTTACCTAAGGTTCGGATTTCCCCACCTGGATTACCTTTGGTGGAACTTTACAAGTTATGCCCAAATGAACTTCATCTCTGATGTTTTTTTGACCCTGACACAAACACACAAACACACACACACAAACTATTTTTTTTTGTATGACCCTCCTTTCAGTCGAGGGAATAACTGAATTTATATTTATATTTTCTAATAAACGTTGAAAAAATGAACGTTCTAGTAATGGTTTTGCTCCAGCCATTTTTATAATAGGTGGTAACTAAAAAGCAAAACCAAAAGATTTAATCAATAATTGTAAATTATAGTTCTCCTTGATTTCTGGCATAATTTTTTTTTTGTGGAAAGAAAATAAAGTTTTTTCTGATGAGCTTTTTCGGGAGATGACGTGTGAGCTGTGGGTAGACTAGAGGTCTCGCCCTCATCCATGCCTCATTCCACATCGATGTATATGGAACCATGACCACATCTTTGACATGACATGTGCTTCTAACAAGGGAACGTTTTCAACTGATCGACCGCCTGTGAATTCAGATCATATGTATGAAATAGACTCCAGTGAGATATGAAAAACTCCAAAAATGTAAATCACTGTGAGCCTTTTGTCGAGAGTCTTAGGCATTTTATTACAGGCGTGAACGATAACTGCAAATATCTGTCGCTTTCCATCGTAACTTATAGGTGTACAGCCATTTTCGACTCAGGGTGATTGACCTAGGAACCCTGATTTAATAGAGCGTCCCCCAATAACCCTATGATCGGCACCACCATGACTACTAGTTGTCCTAGTAATAAGAAAGAAAAGGCTCTTGAAATCTGAGTAGTCGAAAAACTGACCAATCAGATGGCGAATTTGTATTTCTCGGTGATACACGAAGCGGAGCCTCACACAAATACCTCTCATTCAATAGAGATTTCGCGATGACTCCATGATCGGCTTCGACGTGACTAGTAGTTATCCTAGTAATAAGAAAATAAAAGGCTACTGGAATCTGATTGGTCAAAAAACTGACCAATCAGATAGCAAGTTCCTATGTCTCCGTGATATACACGGCAGAACCCACCACATATACCCCATATTCAAGAGATCGTCCGCTATAAACCTATGATCGGCTCTAACATGAGTAGTCGTTGTCTCAGTAATAACAAAGAGAAAGGCTCCTGAAATCTGATTGGTTCAACAATTGACCAATCAGATGGCGAATCTATATTTCTCTCTGATATATAGGATGGAACCCCACACATATAAACTTCATTCGATAGAGCGTCCTCCATAACCCTATGATCAGTCCCAGCATGACTAGTAGTTGTCCTAGTAATAAGGAAGAAAAGGGCTCATGAAATCCGATCGATGGAAAAACTGACCAATCAGACGGCGAGCTTCTATTTCTCTTTGATATAAAGGGCGGAGCCCACCACATATATACCCATTCGATAGAGCATCCGCGATAATCCTATGATCGGTACCACCATGACTACTAGTTGTCCTAGTAAAAAGAAAGAAAAGGCCTCCTGTGATCTGATTAGTCGAAAAATGTACCGAGCAGAGTTTAGGAGGCCTTTCCTTTCTTGTCGTGTGAACAACTGCTAGTATAGTAGCTCTTGGGGACGCAATTGTATCTCCAATAGTAGTACTTGAGGATCCAAGGGTATCCTGCTTTACTGGGACTTGAGGATCCAAGGGAATTCCTATTTTGAGACTTGAGCACTCTATAAAAAAAGGTGTGATACTGAACCTTTTAAGTTTGGGTGAAGATCCTGAACTTTTCAAGGTTTCGGATTTCGGTACAATTTGCAGAACCTTTTCTGGAATTCTGGTCAAAAAGTACAGAACTTCAAAAAAGTTCAGACTTTTCAACTAAACTTTTTTCAGTTCTGGAGAACATGTCCAGAACTGAAAAAAAGGTTCTGAAAATTGTGCCGAAAAAGGTTTAGTATGACGTCTTTTTTTTTAGAGAGTACCCCCTATAGTAGGACTTTAGGACCTAAGGGTACCTCACTATAGTAGGGCTTGAGGACCCAAGGCTACGGGGATGCAGGCGGAGACGGCTAGGAGACCGTTACCGAGTACCTAGTGATGGGCCCATTACCAGTTACTTGGTAACGTAATGGTAACTTCCCTCCTCTATGAGTACCTTTTGCAATAGGTAAAAGTGATATTTTGTGTTTCAGTGGTTAGGGGTAGTTTTCAAGAGTAGCTAAGATGTTTCTCTTTCCGAATAAAACTTGACGATGGCAACTAGCATAAGAAAAAAAATAGTCAATTTAGTTTAATCAAAAAGTGGTGTTATATGAAATTATTTTACACAAGTGAGTTTTGGAACACATGGTTAGAAACCAGAACTTTGAGTAGTAACTTACGACACCGTTGATTCACTTGAAACTGCTGATCAGGACATGTACACATAACTTTTCCACTTAAGTTTTCATAACAATCATAGCCATTGGCTGGTATAAAATGACCGGACAGCTCGCATATTGAACAGTCTTTTTACATGAAATAGGGAGCTTATTTTAAGATAGTGGACATCTCACTTACCAAAAGCGATTTCTGTCGTAACGAGCGTGAAGAAAACGATAGCATAAACTGGGGTCCTCGTTTAATTGATCAAAAAACGTCTTGTGTACGAAATAACATAGTGTGAGTCGCAGCTGCATAGTTTCTCACTTGTGCTTCTGCTCACTTCTAGCACGATGATAAGCGAGTGTGAGTTGCCACTATGTCAGTACATAGTTTCACCGTATGTGTGACAAGTTTCATCGATATTCTCCGAATCGGTTTTAATCGAGCTTGTTGTGTAGAGGTGTGGGTGTGGGTGTGGGTGTGGAATGTGGGTTTGGGGGTGTGAGTGTGTGGGTGTCGGTGTGGGTGTGTGGGTGTGGGTGTGTGGGTGCGGATGTTGGTGTGAGTGTGGGTGTTAGTCTTCTACTTCATATATCCACACTTACACCCACCCACACCCACACCCCACACCCACCCACACCCACCCACACCCACACCCCACACCCAACCACACCCACACCCACCCACACCCCACCCCCACACCCCACACCCACCCACACCCACCCACACCCACACCCCCCCCCCACCCTTTTTTGACTGTTTTGTAGAGGAGAAAAATTCATACAATATATGTGAAAATCAGCTTGTAGGTATTAAGGTGACTGCACAGCTGCAGATACGCTGTCAAAATGGATTCGTTCTCATACCTAGTTCCGACTAGTGTTTGTCAAATAAAATTGAGCTAGTGCATACAAGAGGACAGGCAAACAGCTCATTTTGTTCAGTTTTTCACGCTCTATCTCCCAGTATAGTGGACAACTTTTTTTATCGATTTGCTACCGAGCTAGGTGACTGAACTTTTAGGAAGCACTTTTACACGAAAATTTAGGAGATGTCAAAAGTCGAGCCCACATAACTTTTCACCAACTCAACCGAGAACGCTAAAAATTTGGCTTTAGAGGTTTTCAGCGTCCCTGATTCAAATGCACATGTCAAATCGGAAAAATAAAATTTGATCAGTACCTTGATTCCTTGATGATCTCATTGGCACTCTCTTAAATAATGAACTTATTTCTCAAAATTAACAAATCAGTTCGGTCATGGGAACAAACATCATCACCATGCGCAGTTCGAGAACCACTTATCATTCATCGAGTTGAGTCGTTATCACTATTTAACATTGCAACTGTTGATATCTGCGCACACACTTCTTCATCTGTTTTATCTTTATCAATCGAGAGAACATAATTTTAGTGCGCACACGACATAGATATAATCAAATGGTTAAAGAAACAACACATCAGGCGACATCCACTATGAAGAACCATCTCACGTTTTATGTCAATGGAAAAGAAATTATTGAGCGTCATGTTGAGCCGGAATGGACTCTTCTTTGGTATCTGAGAAATAGTAAGCGATACTAATATTCAAAGGTCTCAAAGTGTGTTCATATTTTGTTGTGTATAGAATTGAAACTTACTGGCTCGAAATTGGGTTGTGGTGAAGGTGGTTGTGGGGCATGTACAGTTGTCATTTCCCGATTTATCGATCGACATTCTGGTGAAATTGAACATCGAACAGTGAATGGTTGTTTGGCACCTCTCTGTTCTGTTGATGGATGTCATGTCATCACTGTCGAAGGATTAGGTTCTGTGAACAAGTCGAATCTTCATCCCATTCAAACTCGTCTAGCTGAACTATTCGGTTCACAATGTGGATTTTGTACACCGGGCATCGTCATGTCTCTTTATGGAACTGTCACATCAACAACTAATTCATTACCGACAATGCAAGATATTGAAGAATCTTTCGATGGAAATCTTTGTCGATGTACTGGATATCGACCGATTCTCGATGCTGCGAAATCATTCGCAAGTGATACAAATAAATTACCTCACAAAGAATCGTCACCATCAATATCGACTACATTCGACAAATGTATGTTGTTTGTCAAACAAAATTCAATACCTGATCAAATCGAATTCCCTCAAAAACTCAAACATTATATTCCCCAATCGATTCATATCAAAGGTAATATCTCATTCGAATATCGAATTGGTTCTATTTGTAAATATAAATAGGTTCCTTGATTGAATGGTATCGTCCCGTATCACTCAATGAACTACTTCATCTTCGTCATACTTATCCAGGTGATGCATCAAAACTTGTCTTCGGAAATACTAGAGTACAAATCCAGAGAAAATTTAAACAACTTCAATGTTCCTGTCTCATTGCTATAACACATATCGAAGAATTGCAACAACTCAAGCGAACTACGGATTCATTATATCTCGGTGCTGGTATCACATTTACATGTTTAAAATCAAAATTAAGCGAATGGTATAATGAAAAAATCAATGATGGTGGCATTTGTCAAGCACTACTCGATCAACTTCAACGTTTTGCATCGACACAAATCCGAAATGTTGCCTCTCTCGGAGGCAATATTATCAGTGCTTCACCCATGTGAGTTATATCATCACACAATTTCTACTATGTTATTATTGTTATTTTTCTCTAGTTCAGACATCAATCCAGTGTTACAAGCTGCAGGTGCTGTCCTTGAATTACATCGTGCCGATAGTAGTGCTGTGCGTCAAATTTCATTGTGCGAATTTTTCCTCGGTCAAGGTCGTGTATCGATGATAGATAATGAAGTTCTTGTTGCCATTCGAATTCCTCTTCCGAATCCATCCAGTAAATCTTTTCTTCGATCATACAAACAATCCCGTCGTCGAGATGATTCGAAAGGAATTGTTAGTGCTGGATTTCAAGTTGAACTTCAACAATCAAATTCAATTGATAATCAATGGAATATTATTTCAGTTTGTTTTTCATTCGGTGGAATGGCATCGAGAACAATTATGACAAAAAATACTCAACAAGAATTAGTTGGACTATCTTGGACGAAAACAACTATGAATAAAGCATGCGAATTGATTCTCAAAGAAATGCCACTTGATGAAATGAGTCCAGGTGGACAACCAGAATATAGGTATTTGTGAGATAAGTACATTCTGTTTTTGATCAGGAAAATTTGCCGGAAATGTAGGCCAAGAAGAATTGAAGGAGTTTGTTCGTGGTGGAAAAATACTTTTTTTTAAAAATTACCATTATTGTCTATCATCTCTCAACAAGACATCAACCAATGGTTTTTTAACTTCATTTAGACGCACACTGGTTCAATCATTTCTTTTCAAATTCTATGCCTATGTGTGCTTGGAACTGCGCCAATCAACAGATGATTCGATTCATCTTTCGATTGCTTATCCTTATCATCGGCCAATCTCTCATGGTCAACAGACAATACCCGAACGACCTCAATCCCAGAAAGTCGTCGGTAGTTCATTGTCACATCGATCAGCTTATTTACACACGACAGGAGAGGCAATATATGGAGATGACATGCCATCGTTGGTCAATACACTTCATGCTGCACTTGTTCTCAGCACACAACCCAATGCTCGAATCAAACATATCGGTAAGAATCGTGATGTTTTTATATGTTTTATTGAAAGAGCAGAATCGTAGATATTGGAGTTGCTTCACAAGTACCTGGCTTCGTGTCATTCATCAGTCATACAGATGTGCCAGGTTCGAATAAATCGGCTACTCCTATTGAAGATGAAGAAGTATTTGCATCATCGATTGCGCATTGTATTGGTGCTATTATTGGTGTTGTTGTTTGTGAATCAGAAGAATCCGCATATATAGCTTCGAATCTAGTCAAAATTGAATATGAATTATTGACTCCGACAATTTTTACAATTGAAGATGCCATCATTCATGAATCTTACTTTGGTAATGAAATCTCTCTTCAACAAGGTGATATTGACAAGGGTTTTGCTGATGCTGAACACACGTTGGAAGCAACAGTATGGATCGGTGGTCAAGAACATTTCTATATGGAAACACAGTGTTGTATGGTCATACCGTCAAATGATGATCAAGAAGTCACATTATATTTAGCAACCCAAAGTCCAGCCACGGCTCAACAGATGGTCGCATTAGCACTTGGGCGACATGTTAGTCGTATAACGTGTCATGTGAAACGAATTGGTGGCGCATTTGGCGGTAAAGCTACGCGATCGTAAGTCTTTGTTTGTCGTTCTCTCTCTCCTAGATGTCATACGTAATTGTTTATTATTGCAGAATCCCTCCATGTATTGCCATTGCGGTGGCCGCCGTCAAAGTTGGCCGTCCTGTTCGTTTACATCTTGAACGTCATATTGATATGTCCATTACTGGACATCGACATCCATTCAAGATCACTTATAAAGTAGGCTTCACTGATGAAGGTCGCTTTTCGACACTTGATATTCAAATGTGGAGTAATGCCGGGTGTTCCTTAGACTTATCAGAGTCCATCATGGAAGTTGCTATGCTTAAAATCGACAATTGCTATCAATTTCATAACATTCGAATACGTGGCCGTGTTTGCAAAACACATTTGCCATCAAACACAGGTATCTGCTCGAAAAAAAACAGTTCGAAATGAGTGATTGTTTTGTTTATTGAAGCCTTTCGTGGTTACGGTGGTCTACAAGCAACATTGGCATGTGAAACAATTGTTGAACATGTTGCTACATATCTCAAGCGTGATCCGTTTACTATTCGTCGTCTCAATTTATTAAAAGAAGGTGACATAACTCATTATGGACAAAAATTAGAACAATGGCATGTTCCTCGAATTTTGGATGAACTTAGTCAATCAAGTGATTTTATTCAACGAAAATTAAGTGTTGATGAATTTAATCGTACAAATAAATATCGAAAACGTGGTATAACAATGATGCCAGCCAAATATGGTATTGGTTTCTTGGCTCAATTTTACAATCAGGCAGGTGCTCTAGTGCATATCTACAAAGATGGTTCAGTAGTAGTTACTCATGGAGGTATTCCGATAAACTTTTCAATGGTAACATATTCAAAATCTTCTGTCGTTTAGGTGTTGAATTTGGACAAGGTTTGCATACAAAAATGATATCAATAGCTGCCGAAGTATTGGGTTGTGATGTTGATCGAATACGAATTAGTGAAACGGCAACGGATAAAGTTCCCAATGCAAGTTCAACAGGCGCTTCAGTTTCATCAGATCTTAATGGAATGGCTGTTCGACACGCATGTGAACAAATTCGTGAAAGATTAAATAGATTTCTTGTTGATAAGAATAATGCACATATTTCGTGGGAAGATCTGATCAACCAAGCATATCATGCTCGTATCGATCTGTGTGCACGGGGGTTCTATGCAACACCTGACATGTTCGATGCTGATTTTAGTCAAAATCGAGCTACTGTCAATTATTTCACACAAGGTGCAGCAGTGACTGAAGTCGAATTGGATGCATTGACAGGTGATTGGCATCTGTTGCGTGTTGATATCCTCATGGTATGTCCATCTAGTGAGAGAGAAGAGAGATATAATCATGCATTTTTGTCCTCTGCTAGGATGTTGGCACATCACTCAATCCTCAAATTGATATTGGCCAAATTGAAGGTGCCTTTATGCAAGGTGTTGGTTTGTTCACCATGGAAGAACTTATTTGGGGTGATAATAAACGGCATAGATGGATAAAACCGGGTGAATTATTTAGTCGAGGACCCGATACTTACAAAATACCCTCATTCAGCGATATTCCACTCGACCTACGTGTTTCACTCTTATCCGATTCAAAGAATCCACGAGCTGTCTATTCATCAAAGGGCATTGGTGAACCCCCAATCTTACTTAGTGCTTCAGCCTTCTTTGCTCTGAAACAAGCATGTATTGCCTATCGAGAACAACAAGGTTTCTCGGACTATTTTACACTTCATTCACCAGCTACTGTCGAACGACTTCGAATGGCCTGTGCCGATGAGTTTACTCATCGTGTATGTCTGGATGAATATCTGACATTCCAACCCAGAGGCTCCTACTGACAATATAGCGTAGTATTCCTTTTTTT